CAAATAAAATTACTTGTTTCATTCATACTTTCATTGATGCATGCGTTGAATTCATTGGCTGTGACTCGTTGATTTTAGGCGCTCAACTATGAACTAGTGGGCCACTGGGTTGAATCCTTTTCTGGTTAATGAGGTATACACAGCTAAGTAGTGTCATCAGTTCACTGCCAAATGCATGTGAATACAGATGGTTTTCAGTAAGATACATACCTACAAGCTAGTACACCTGTTTACAGTATAGAGTGCATCGTGTGAAATCGATTTGAGGGTAGTTTTCAAAATGCTTTGTGTGTTCGTTGGATTCTCTGCGTTGGAAGAATTTCAGGTGCCAAACCTGCAGTGTAACCACTAAGCTGTGTAGTGCCACTAAAGTAATTAGCACAAAGTTATACGTACCCATGTAATACGCTTTTGGTGTTCAGTAGTACAATGTACTGACAAAATAGTTAATATCGGTGCTGTATTATGACTATACTGGTTTTTCAACTTGTCAAATTAAATACCACCTCCCCCTTAAATTGTAAATATTTATTCGAGGTAAATACAGAAAGTTCTTTACTAAAAAGACAGATGAATAGTCTATAGACTATGAAGTGAAGTGTGATACTTCAAGGTGTTAAGTCTCGAAACAGAAGTGAACGGGAGTAGAATGTTCATTTGTTTAAGTTAATTTCACTCTCCCAATCGATCGACTGGGCTGACTGGTATCAACATAAAACTTTGCACAGAAGTGCAACACTTCGCGTTGCCAAACTCCATGTAGTACACAAACCAGGCGAAGAGATGTTTAAAAGAGAGAGATAATAAAACTGAAGTGAAATATGTTCAATCTCTGCTGACATGTCAGCTCTCCTAGTACGGACGCTTTGACAATGTCTCAGGATTAACATAATGTTAATCTTTTGAATGGTGATTTGCAGTAGAATCCAGAATGCGCATTCTGTTTGTACTTGGGACACATCAACTGGATGTACCTGCAGTCCCCAGTCCAAATGCATTTGACGATTTTAGTTGCAAGTAATCATATAAGCACTGATAATTACTGTCGATTGAAAATAGGAACTTTGTGAAGATCAGTGTGTGTGTGTGTGCAGGTGAACGTGTTAGTAGAGGAGTATTTGTCGTGGGTTAATTATCGCTTATATTCTTCCTCTTAATAAGTAGGTAAGGTAACACGGTTAGTTGGTTGTTAATATATGATGTGTCTAAGCAACAAAGTTGTTTTTTGGCAAAAGGAAAATAAATAAACGCCTGTAACACTTTAAATTAACCTTCACCTAGGTAACACTTTTTTCTCCATTCTTCTTCTTTTTATATAATAAGACAGTCACAGAGAAAGAGAGAGAGAGAGAGATAATTTCTGTTTCAGGTGGTCAGTTGTTTGAGATGTTATAGGTAGGTGATGAATAAATAAAATAAATATTATAGAACTGTAATACCTCTTTTATTAAGTATGAAAATATAATTTGTAAGTCATACAGGTCAAGAGTAGTGGATTGATTCAACTATATATATTAAGATAATTGCCAAATAATTTTTTTTTTTTTTAATTTACTTCGGCTATCTCCTACGGGAGGATGAGCCGGCTTCATGAACGTCTCGAATCATCGCTGCCCAGGCGCGGCAATTTGTAAGAGAGTTCATGAAGTTTCATGGGAATTTGGTACGAGTGATGTCCCCAGCATCGCTCGGCCTTTTGTTTGAGAGTGCAGCTCTAGCCTTTACACAACCAAGTGTGACCTACAAGGCAGTAGGAGTGGAGTAAGGAGTCCACTATCCATTGGCAGCCGATGACCGAAGTTCGGTTCATACGCCTTTTTGAATGGGGCCAGACATCCAGGAAAACCAACAAGCCCTTTGTCCATACGTCTGCCGGTGAGCTCCAGTGAGCTTCATACGCCAATCGTTGGAGGTTTGGAATCAGGGTTTAGCCATCTCCCCTAGACTGTCATCCAATGGACAGTCAACCCGGTGGAGAGCGCCGGGCATCCGCTTTCGCCCTCTCACTTTGGTGAGAAACACCTCCGCCACGTGAAGGCAGTGAGTAGGACTTCCTCAGGAGAGGCTATGTAAGACGCCCGGTCATATGGGAGCATTTCAAGAGGTGTGCGGAGGGGTGGCCAACCCGCAGCGCAAGGCACCCACCCCCGACCATCCTGAGGCTTTGGAGGCTTTGCCAAATAATACCGTGAAATCAATATTGATTCATCTCGTTTTTATTACTACTGAAGCTTTAGCTTATGAAACAGGAAAATTGTAGGTTTGCATTATAGCGAGAAAAAAAAACTTGTTCAACCTTTCTATCTTTCTTCCTCATATTTCCATTTATATATTCCCATTAAATATCCTTGAAAAAAGGTGTTCATTGCTCTGAAATCTGTGTATAAATATACAGCACTCAGAATAGGAAACAAAAGTCTAATTTTAACCCCTATAGGGGTTCAGAGACTTGACGAGGCGTTATCAAAATAATTCCCAAATAGCCTGTTGGAGACACTTGCATCATCAGATGGCTGGCCAGCTAGAGACACTAAGCGTCAAGGGACTCTAGCAAGTGACCTGTCAAGTACTTATCGTCCAAGAAATACTTAAGGTAAAAATGAAGATGGATTGGACATACACTGAGAGAAGACCATGGAGTGACATCGCACGTCAGTCCCTCGGATGCAACCAAGTGGGAAGCAATTGAAAATGATACGGGGGAAATCTTGTAAAGAGAATATGAAAGTTTGTGAAAACATTTCTGTAGACAGCTGTAAAGGACTGTAGAAAACCGAGTGAAGTAGCCACATGCTGCTGAGGCCCTATGTTTCACCCGAAAGACAAGGGACGAATGTCAATACTTTAAGAATTTCGTTAATCCTTCTCTCAAATAATTTTGTTTTATTTCGTAGTGTCACTTGTTCATGGCTTTTTGGGTTCATTTTAATTATCACTAGTGTTGACATCTGTTTTAATCACAAAACTACTAGACACACACAGTTTTGAAACAAAACACGTTTATAATGAAGATAAGATTAAGGGATGTTTCATTTCCTTCCCTTACAATCTAACATTACGTAATCGGTTCATTTGTTTTTACTAGCCTTTATCGACTACTTCCACCTGAACAATTGTTTGTTTAATCATACTGTTTTTCATTATTCGTGTTATCACAGATTGCCTCATTTTTTCATCCTTATTATTGATAAGACCATTATTATTATTATTATTACTATTATTAATATTATCATTACCACTATTATGACTGATTGCACAATTTATATTCACCATCGTATTATCCTATAGACAAAACACCATGACTGGTTTGTATTTGAATTTTTATTTGTAAACTTATATATATTAGAGTTAAGCCTGATGAGATCTAATTGAAACACAATATTGTTCGCTTAAATGTGTTGTTCTAAATTTTACTACGGGAATATTTAATATATTGAAATCTTGTAAAGTTCTGATTCTGGATCCTGTAGTGAATGAAATCACTGAAAAGAGTCCGTTTCGAAATAAAGTTAGTCTATAAATAAAACTGTGGGTAGTAGGCTTTATGGAACCAGTAAAAACTTAAACCGTTATTTTTGCATTTAAGAAAAACGCACTCAAGTTCAGCATCTATCTCTGACTATCAGTGAATTGAAACTTATGCATATTGTGATAATTTACTGTCAATATTGAAGCCTATAACCTTCAAATGGTAATAATGTTTTTTGCTTCATTCTAAGTAAACTAAACATCGGTTAATCTCTGGTTACACTCTAGTGAATAGATATTACAGTGCTATAAAAGATCACTTGTTGGGCTTGAATATCTCTAATAGTAATTCCTCTTACTTCAGAAATAAAAGAAGTGGGTTTGGATTCTCGAGGGGATATTTTTCCCTTGAGGTTACATATGTGCTCTACTAATAAGTATCTATAAACACGAAAGTCAGATTTTATGGCTTCCTGCAGACTGCCACCAACCATCTAATAATGAAGGGTTTAATATCATTGGATTCATTAATGCTTGAGTGGTAGCACGGTTAAGAAGATATTTTCTTTCTACAGGAAATAAATCCAGACAAGTGTCGTTGATTTCAAAATTAATCAAGAACTGACTTCAGTTGGCAGAAGTTAGAATTGATAAGGTGTTGGATTTCGTCTCAGTGATTGAACTGTTAAAAAGCTTGCCTTGTTAAAGTCCTAGGTTCGATCTTTGGTAGGGTGGAGGCGGTCATGGATGCATACTTATGCAAATCCCAAACTAGGACAAAACCGTTATCCATTCAGTACTGCTTGCTGGTGTTCTCACCGACGTCGGTGCATACATGATCAGTCTTGCAATCAACGAATTCCCTGTTAGCCAAAACTTGAGTTTTTGTATACAGACTTTCTTTTTGCAATAAAATCTTCCAGTTCAAACTGATTATTCTCGGGTAGAGAGTCCTTTGATGTAATTTTGTTGCCTTTACAGTGCACTACTACTCATTGTGATTATCGCTCTTTTATTCACGATTATTAAAATGCGTAGTTGTAGATTGGAAGGTGTAGGTATTTAACATGGTGTAGAAAACATAATTGGATTAATTAAAACAACAGAGTAAAATAGTAAATCTGATTCTGTACTTCGATTTTTAGTAACTCAGATGTTTGAACCATCCCCTAGTGTTTTCTATATCTTGTTTACAAATTTAATTGAATTTTTTGATTTTCCCGTCGATTGATTGGACCGAAGTGCTCGGTCTCAGGTTGACATGTCGACTGGATTCCACTGCTAGTCCCCATCCACCAATTGAATACTTGTTTACAAATGGTTGAAGAATTCCAAACTAGGGGGTGGGGTAGAATGAATCCTAGTTCTCCTTGATTTTCAAAAATTATGTGGCTGACGTGATTCTATGGTGAAAATTTCTTTGTAATCAGAATAACAGTTCACTTCAGACTGTTAAACTTTCATATTTATATCATCAAGGTCTAAGCCTATGAGGTAACAACCTTTTCTTTTTTTTAAATATATATCTTTAGGTTCTTTACGTGATTTTATGCGACAACGTCAACAACAGTTCTGTAATCGTCCCGTAGTTATGTCTGATATTTGTGCTCAAGTAGCCAATGGTATGGCGTATTTAGAACAAGAACAATTTGTCCATAGAGATTTAGCTGCAAGAAATTGTCTAGTAAAATCAATTAGTCAAAATTCTGTACATGTAAAAGTAGCTGATTTTGGTATGGCACGTTTCTTATTGGATAATGTCTATGAACCAAGCGCTGGAACAAAATTCCCTGTTCGTTGGGCACCACCTGAAGTATTTCAATCCACGTATACAGCTAAAGCTGATGTATGGAGTTTTGGTAAGTATTTAGTAGAAATGTTTTTCTTTTATTAAAAATGTATAAATAACATCTGCTCCTCTTATTTTTTTTTAAAATAGATTACAAACAGGAACAAAAAAGCTTTTCAACATTTAGAATGCTCTGTAGAATATTCGCTATTTATTATTTTTCCTATGAACCACATTGATTGTTTACATTATAGGCACAATGGTGCTAGTGACGACAGTGGTATCTGATTACCTAAACTATTAAATGCAAAAATTATATTTGCTAGTTGGACCGTTTTTAGGCACACAGATACGCACATACTCTATCTGTGTGAGAAGATCTACTCATAGTAAGTCAACATGGAACAGACACCTCATTAACTTCCACATTTGGGTACCTTTACATTACAAAACGAAACTTCATCCTCAACACTCTGAGTTCTGACACCATAAAAGAGGAGCTGAACACTCTAGAAAGGATTTATCATTGAAAATGGCTACTGTGGTCCCCTCATCATGAAGTTTATGAAGTCTACACCACCAAAACCACGCGTACACACTTTCTGTCCATAAAAATTTCTCTATGTTAATTTGGAATTCAGTGGAGACTCAACGGCAGAAATATTAAGGAACTGAACTTCGAATTACTTTCTCTACAAAACCATTGATCTGTATGAACGCTAAGTGGTGTAGATCGCCTGTCTGAAGTCCTCAAGATGTGAAACACCAGCTATTGAATACTGTTGATGAAATCACTCAAAATTCCTTGACTATGGCGCAGATTCACTCACTGCTTATCATCTTCAACATTCTGATCGTGTTCGTTACCGTACACTAGTAGTTATTCTCATCCTCACATTCATGTTTGTCTATGGCAGTATTATTACATTACCGTTGATTATCGTTTTTCTGCATAATATTATTCCCTTGAGTTCTGACTGGAACACTGAGCTTCAGAGGCACATTCCCATTTCACTCTATTCTCTTAAGCCTTTTTTTAATAGTTATCTCCACGATTATCCATAAGCTTTCATTTTCTCATCACACGAGCTCATGCACGTCATCCTTGGGCAACGTCTAACTCATCGCTACCCGTTTGGCTTACCAGCTGGTATACGATATCACTGAACGGTCTCCTCAGAGTATATCTTATCCATCTCTATTTCTTTCTTTCTAATCGTTAGTACGGAGTGAAGGCAGCTGTTGACGAAAGTCTGCAACCTGTCTGAAATATGTTTCGTCTCGTGCCAAGTATCCAAACTATGTGAATGTACTGACTTTACATTAGTGTTGAATCTTGTTCCCTGTGCTGAATACAGCAGATTTCAGGTTATTGGGTATCCATCTTGCTGTAGCGATCCTCTCATTGGTATATATAATTAGCTAGATGACGTTTCGTTTGGAAATTCTCATGCTAAATATGACTGTATCCTTCCCTGTGTGTTTTATCAAATACACTTATGTGAGAGGATATACATATATACTTTAATATTATGTACTATACTTGTATGTTCATCGGACGAAAATGTTAATTAAATATCTACTTGCTGATGACCTCTGAAACGTGCTATTCATTTTTACTCAATTTATTTTATTTGAAGCTTACTGTTTTCTTTTCTGTTTCAAAATCCCTTAGAATCTCAAGTATTGGTTTGCAGGGATTGTGCGTCGGTGTCACAGTGGTTAGGACTCTCACCGACCACGCACATGGTCCGAGGTTCGATCCCCTGCAGACGCACACCTGATATCTATGGTCGGCCTGCAAAATTTGGGCTACCGATATCACATGCTGAAAATTCCATACTTGTTCCAAAACTACAGTGTGGAATCAAGCTGTAATCAAAAATTAAAAAAATGGTTACAAGACTTCATCATGAGCTAACATCGGTTAGGGAACTGTTGGAAAACTTGTGAGTACTGGACATCTGTTTCGTCCTACCTTGGGATTTGAACCCAGGACCAACGGTTCTCTAACCGATGTCAGCTCATGATGAAATCCTGTAATCCCTTAGAATCTCATCGGTTAATAAAATGCTGCCTAGTTTTTGCATTTAGAGTTCATCACCTGGTGTTAGTATGTAGGTATAATAAACTAATTAGAATTTCCAATTTTGAAATAGAGTTGATCTCTAGTCTGTATGAATGTTTTATTAGTATTTCATCATTTAATCGAGCATAATTCAACAATCACTTGTAATTCCATATGATTGCCAATATTTCCCACAGCTATTGTCAGAGGACTGGTTATATGCTGTCCGTGGCTGCCCAAACCCTGTTTGCCTGGAGTTTGAGTTGAACCCTTAACCACACTGGTTGGGAGTCTAACGCCCCTAGATCAGTAAGCGCTAACACAGCTTCACACATATGATATCTACCTACTATAAGAGAGGATAGTGACTACAATCACGTGATATATATATATATATATATATATATATATATATATATATATATATATATATATATATATATAATATGGTATCTTGTTGGTTATTTAGTATGTATAATTACCAAACTATTTCTGTGTGTAAGAGAGAGAGAGAGGGAAAGTGGAAGGAGATGCAGATGATCGTAGGTGGATTATCTTTTATTTCTTTTTGAATTTATCTCCAGTGCTATTCACTGCCTCATTTACCAGTTTATTTACTTTTATATCATATCCACTAGGCTTATATGTATATGTATGTTCGTTATTTTTGTAGTTCCATTTATTTATTGATTGATTAACTGGGTGTTTTCTTCTATTTATCACCTGTTTTTTGTTTTTCACTCAAAAATATGTAATTCTGATAGAAAGCAACAATTTTCCTACGACGTAGTAGTCAGTAGTCATCATCGTGACTTTATGCGTGTGTTTGACAGTCCAACGCACAGCTAACCAACCATCATTTGTGTATGTGTGTGTGTAGAGAGAGAGAGAGAGAGATGTGTACTAGCATATAAATGCCAAATGTTTCTGTATGTGTGTTTGTAACTATGCCACCTGTGACATATCAGTACATTTATTGAAAAGGAAAATATCATTTTCACCTTATTCGTCATCACAACTGCAATGATTATGATTAGTCAAAATTTGACTAAAAGACATTCATATTCACGTTACTTCATCTCTGTGCTCCACCTCTGCTTTTGATCCCCTATTTATACATTCACATGAAATCGTGTACTGTTGTTGTTGTTATCGTTGTTACTGATGTGGTCGTCATTGTTTCCATTTCACATTCGCTTCACTTGTGTTCTTTCTTTTATTTTCCTAAATTGAAGTGTAATGAATTACTTTTTCCCATATTTCAATAGTTCGTGTGTGCGTATGTGTGTATGTGATACTGTAAACATACAAGTGTATGCGTATACAAACGTGTATAACGCATCTTTGTCCGTGTGTGTGTGTGTGTGTACCCGAGCTTAGTTTTTATTTATCACTGTGTTGTCTCGTTCATTAAAGTTAAATCAACTGTCTTACACATTTTGTAGTAAACATGATGGGAAGAGAGAGACAGACTAGGAAGAGTATTTGTATAGTTATGGGGTAATGGAAGTGGGGTTTTATTTTCTAGAATAGGATGCTTTTATTTGGTGTGGAAGGATTATTGAAAGTCAACAAATAACCGGATAACTGCTTCATCTCATCCTAGTTTGAAACTATTCATCAAGGCAGGCGAATATTATACTTTCTCATTGATTGTTGTTTCATGATTTACCAACTACTCCCATATCTTTGAAAACAATAATAGTAATATAATAATAATGTCTTTTATTTTGTCTACGAATTCAAATACATCTTTGACGATATGTTTCACTATCTGTTCATACAAAGGTTTGAGAATATTTACTAACCAACTAGTTGCAGCATGGTAGGGAAAATTTCACATATCAAGTATTGGTGTCAACGATACTTTCGGTTTATGCACTTTAGGTAGGCCATACAGTCTTGGCGTGTACGTGCCCTTTGACCTGAATTCTTCATATAAACTCTCAGGAAATATCTGTCCCTTCATTAGTTTCTTTAAACATCTAATATTCAGTATATTCTTATGTTGATACTACTGAACTGTAATCCATTGATATTATTATTGGAAACATTTATTTCCCGATACGAGTTTAAAACAAGCAATAAAGGTTAATAAAGCAGGATTTAATGAATTCATCAAATTTCGGTAGAACTCGTCAGCTGAATACTCTACATACACGTATATATATACTATTGAAATTACATTGGGAGATATAAGACTGATTAGTAAATAAACTACATTGAATTAGACATACAGAAAGACATGTGCGAATGTTTTCCAGGTCATGTTCAAATAGATAAGGGGAGAGGGAGTATGAGAGATTAAAATTAAGACAAAACGCATTACGCTTCAATTACATCACTTAAATAGACAATTAGTCACTAGAGAGAGTATATCAAGAACTGCAAATAGAGTAATATCAATAGTAATAGTTATAATAATAAGTGTTGAAGTGAGTTAAGATTTTCCTACTGATAAAGGATAGTTTTAAATGAATGAAGAATAACAATAATAATAAGAGGTAGAATAATAAGTAAAACGTAATACCATGGTAAATTCAGAGTGATGACTATCTCTTTTTGTACACAGAGACCTGGTTTATAAACTCGAATTGCACAAGCCTCTGCAATCGCAAGCATCTTGTTTCTTTGTCTACTGACAATAGTGAATGACTTGACCGCGTCGATATCATGTCTATGGTCCACAGGATGTTTTTTATTGAGGATTTTGGCACTTTGCACTCAGCTGTTTTCAACCACTTTGGCAAATGCTCCATCATGCGAGTAGACAATCGCCTTTCTGTACGACCTATGTATTTGCTTCCACAAACACAATCAAATTGATATACGCAGTTCTCCCATATCTCTCTTGCGTATACGTGTTATCTGGCTATCGATGAAAGGAAGTGTGTGTACTGTTCACCAGTTCAATCCACCTTCATTTATGCCTGTGAGACATAGCCATTGAAAGTGGAAGATATATGAAAAGGCCATATGTGTTTGCTTTCTTTCTCTTCTGTTAGGTGGTACAACAGGTTGAGTAATGTTAAGGTTAGGCGTAGTGTCTTAGAAAAGAAAGGGAAGTCAACCGATGAGACTGTGAAACTACACTGATCGAGGCATACATAACGCATAACCTAGTCATCACCTTCCTCGATTAGCCGTGTTAGCTAACAGATTGGAAAAGAACTGAAGATGGGCAAAACAAAACTTGGAATCAGTCCATGAAATCTTTCACAGTCAGTTTGATCTATGTAGAAGGATGTAGGCTCCCTGATTGGGGTCCTCGGAATTCTAAGAACCAATGGCTGGAGACAGTTGGTGATATGGCTCGAACTTCTATATCCATTAAACCCTATGGTTTTTTTCCTATAGTAGTAATCTTCCCCCTTCACATTTCTGCTTATTTATTCTTCTTTTGAATCTCTTTCGTCTTCTTTTGTGTGCTACATGGAGTGTGGCGACTCAAATTGTTACATATTTATGGAAAGTTCTATGCGGAAACCAGTCAGTCGCCTAGATGTAACTACAGAATGATTTTAGTTGCTTGGTGGCAGTATATACTTTACCGCTCCTAAGTTGTCAACAGTCTTAGCACCATTTGTAGTCTCTAAAATCGGAAACAATTGAGCAGTTGTGTAATTGTGTAATCCACAACACGTTGCCCATTGAATTCTAAGTCTTCTTTTCAAAAACTGTTTAATCTAAGATTATTATCGTTGAAATTTTTCTGCTCACGACTCTTCCCACTTAATAAAAGCCTTTTGTTGTATGTACATTTTTCTCTGGACGACATTATTTTTCTAATCTAATCTTAATTACCATTGATTAAGCGTGTGTTTTTGGTGTATTGAAAACTCTAATCTAGGTGTACTTATGTGGGAGGTGTTCACATGTTGTTCAGAAAATCCTTATCAAGGTATGAATAATACACAAGTTTATCAGTATATTGTTGGTGGTGGTCGATTACATAAACCAGCTGTATGTCCTGAAAGAATCTATGTTCTAATGCTTGAATGTTGGCAACATGTAAGTTACACATACATATACTCCCTTCTTGGTTTCTTTATTTGTTTTATATTAGTTTACATTATATACAATGGTAATATTGTCAGTATTATAATTATTATTAGATACAGTGTCACTGATTTATCTCATTGAATAATAGTCAAAGCCTATGTATGAAAGTGGAACTGTCTGACTCGGGGTCTTTATTAGCGGTTTGGTGACGTGCTGGCATCAGTTGGAGAAACATTGGAAAACCATAGGGTACTGGACATTTGTTTCGTCCCAACCTGGGACTCTTCATCAGTATGCACTCACTGGGAGTCAAGACGAGGATTTTCTGGTTGCCAACCACTTGAACCTGGTTCAATGGTTCATGAATTCTGACTTTTGCCAATTCGCGATATATAGCGCAACCGTCGCCAGCTGGTTTGTTATGTCAACTACTCAGGAGTTAAAGTATAACACCTTTTGAAATTTATATAAAATCTTTTGAAATTAAGGATTTATCCGTTAAATAAATATTGGTTTAAACCATTTATTTGTGTTACACAATTAGTATGTTTTCTCAGACCACTCTACTATATTTAGTGTGTATTCAGCCCATAGATTCAATCACTGGACTCTGCGTCGGTGGCACAGTGGTTAGGACTCTCGCCGACCATGCACATGGTCCGAAGTTCGATCCCGTGCTGACGCACACCTGATATCTATGGTCGGCCTGCAAAATTTGGGCTACCGATATCCATGCTGAAAATTCCATACTTGTATCAAAAATACAGTGTGAAATCAAGCTGTAATCAAAAATAAATAATAAATAAATATTCACAGAAAAAGTTAATCGTCACTATTCATATTGATTCTTTTTTTCTATTCACTAGTAGTCTCTGATGATGAAAGACGTGAAAATATGCAACAGTATCTAGGAATAATAAATTACTATTTGTACACATCTGTGTAAACAAAGTTTTTCTCAAGAAAAAGATATAAACTATTGCCTAATGAACCAATTATGTTTTGTCCATTATTGATCACATAAAATACCTTTTCTAAACTACACCACAAATCCGATGTTTATTTATCTGTTCAACTCTAAAATGCATTCTGGATGCAGACTTGTGTACGTTGGTAATCCAGTGATAGAATGAATTGTCAGTTAGTCATGTATGAGGTCCCAGATGACGCATACCTAGATTGGTCTCAGTCCTCTAACCGCGATAGTAACCCTGGGAAAGAAGGAAGGTTATCTGTTAGGCTAGCAACCCCATTCTTTGAAAACAGCACCACCACCGCCAATAAGAGTTCAAATCTTGACCCCCTATCCACAGCACAAAGGAATGAAAGAATGAACTTTTGAAGAGGAAAATAAGGTAGTTTCCCACTACATGTAAATTAGTGTGACTAAATTTCAAATTCTAAAATTTTCCGAAAATTCGCGTAATTACTCATTGCCTAACAACATGCCATGAAATAAAATCTGAGAAGCTGATGAAATGTTATTGTGTATGGAGGGTAAATTACTAGATGAATATGCATTCACCATCGATTTTTGTCAAATGGGACACATCCATTGTTTTAAGCAATAGACTTCAAAATTGGTAGATCACTGGATTTCGCAGTGATTATTATGATTAACCCCCATGTGGTAGAATTATATCCATTTGGCCTTCCCTTTTCATCCAAATCTCTTTCTGCAACACTATTGTTACGGTAGGAGACGAGAAACTTGATAAAGGAATGTGTATTTGGAATCTGGTATCACTATATAGCGAAATTATGTACACCTTATCTTTAACGCACCATTTTCACAGATCTTCCATGCTGGGCTACTTCTGTCCTTCATATTGTGTTTCTTGCTGTTCCTTTCACGTCTCCCATGTATCTCCACAATGGCGTATCATTTGCTTTCTCTGACATCAAATCTATCTCCCTGCTATTTGATGTTTTATGTCAATGAACGCCTGTCTATATACTATTGATAAATCTCATCAGTAGCACATGCCACACTATATACTTCTGATTGTTTGAGATAAATAATTTTATAGCACTTATAACTTACAGCAACCAGCATGGTTTGGTACCCGGCCAGAACGAAGTGATCTGATGAACACTGGATCTCTGTTTCAGAACCACACTGACTCCTAACTTAGAAATAGGGAGTGAAGTGATACAGCACGTTGACCGCTTCACTTATTAGGGAAGTACCATCAGTCAGTGCCAGCGGGTTGACCTCTGACGAAATCTCATCACGGATACAGGGAGCTCGTTTCGCATATTCCAGTTTACGCCGTCTCTGGCGTAGACGAGATATCGACCAAAGGGCGGGTGTACTGCTCATCAGTCCGCTCCGTCCTCCTTTATATATTATTATTATTATGGCCAGCTGTGAGACCTGGCCACTGAGAGTGGAAGACATGAAGAGATTAGCTGTCTTTGATCATAGGTGCCTGCGCTCTATCTCCCGTGTGAAGTGGTATAATAAGGTGAGCAATACTGAGGTTAGGCATTGGTCGAGTGCTAGGTAGGTGGGAGGGGAAATCAATCGACGAGGCTGTGAAATTACATCGAGTGAGATGGTTAGTTCATGTGTTACCCATGCATCCCTAGTCATCGCCTTCCTCGACGGGCAATGTTAGCCGACATAGGGTCAAGCTGGAAAAGAGTTGGCTGGCGGTGTTCACACCAAAACATGGCTTCATCAGTCAACGAAATCCACAACGGTTAGTTTAAGTCAGTCAGCCACGTAAGGAGGTGTAAACTGGTTACTTGTTTGGGGTCCTCGGGACGGTAAAAAGCAATGAGGGCTGGAAACAATTGGTGATATGGCCCAAAGTGATCGTTCTCAATGGCTAACGCAGATGCATCGACTCCCTGTGACTTATGATTTCCAATGAAACTATATTGTTCTTCGTTATTACTCTTAATTTTAAGTTATCATCCATCGTCAATTTAGACTCTATTCACATTATGATTATTATTATATCCTTTAATTCCCAGAGAAACATAGGGTTTCAGCTGCGCGTCTTCATTGCCTTCGGTTTTCTGCCAACTTTTTCACCTCGCTCCAAGTCTGCCCACATGCTTTCATCTCCTCTTCACATGACCTCCTCCATGTCACCCTCACACTGACGACCAACTCGCCGCTTCCCTTTCGGGTTCCACTCCAGCAATGGCTTGTCTAGTGATGTCACTCACTTGATGGTTTCCTCAGAGTATGGCCAATCCATCTCCATTTCTTTCTGCCTATTTGTTTCACAACCGGTTCCAGCTCGGGTGGTTCGCTCCCAGAGATCCCTGTTGCTGGTCTTTTCTGGCCAGCCATCTGATCTTGAGTATTGAGCGAAGACAACTGTTAATGAAGGCCTGAAGTTTGTGTGAGATGCTCTTCATGACGCGGCACCAAGTGTCTGATCCGTATAGTGAGTAGCACTGACTTCACATTTGAGTTGAAAATCCGGATGTTATTTTTGATGCTGAGTAGTGCTGTTGACCTCCTCTTCACAGACTTAAGAGTAATGAAAGCTTGTCTTGCTTTTTCGATTCTTGCTTTGATATCCTCGTCAGTTCTGTGTGCCTGTAGTTGAAACGATGCTTCCCAGGTTGTTAGGTAGGTAAAGGAGGTTGTTTCCTTCAGGTTCCTCCCATTTATGCTGGCTGACTGTCATCTGTTGTTGTTGTTGCTGTTGCTGTTGGCAAAGAATCTTCATCACCTCTTTTTTTATCTATGTTCACCTGAAGTCCTATCTTCTCTCTATGCTTCTTGTGCCAACTTGTTGCTTTTCACTTGCATATCTTTCAGTTTGTGGGAAATCAGACATATATCATCAACGAAGTTCAGATTCTCCAAGTTCTCTTTTTGTGTGAGTCCATTTTATGCCTGTTTCCTCATTGCCCGTTGTCTGTCTCATTATCCAATCTACTGCAGTCAGGAAGATCATTGGCGATAATAGACAGCCAGCTTGTCTCAATCCCGTCCTCACTTCGAAGGATTCCGTAAGTTTCCCGTTGTGGATTACTTAGCATGCAGCATTGTCGTATAACTGTTGGATGAGATGTATAATTGTCGATGGCATCCTGTAGTAGCGAAGTAGTTTCCAAATGACCTCTCGATCGACGCTATCGAAGGCCTTTTCAAAGTCGATGAAGTTGAGATAGGTAGGTGACTGCCATTCCAAGCTTTGCTCAATGATGATCCGTAGTGTGGCGATTTGATTAATACATGACTTGCTTCTCCTGAATCCAGCTTGTTCCGGTCGAAGTTTTTCATCCAGGACTTGTTTGATTCTCTCCAGGATGATGTGGCTTAGTATTTTGCTTGGGATGGACAGGAGCATATGGATTATAAAATTGACCTCTTGACTGTCTCGAAATACATATCGAAATACTTTATTGAAAATATTGCCCACACTCGCACAAGTGACAACATATTAGTGTTGGTTGTTGTTCAAATCACACGTAATTTTTTATTTTATTTTATTAAGTGGAATTATTCTCATTACTCTGTTCCTGTCATAGTACTAATGATTGTGTATTCAATTTTCTTCCTCATTTTAAGGATTCCAGTAAAAGACCAGCATTTGAGTATATTTGTCAGAAAATTGGTGGATATTTGGATCAAAATTGTGAGAATTAATCATTCATTGTATGTTGTTGGATTACCAAAAAGGAGAAATATAACAGAGGAGAGTTTCTCTTGCCTCCACTTCTCTATGTGTTGTATTAGTAACTATCTTGACGGCTTGACGACTGACTGTGCATTATGACGAGAAATATTCTTCTCTATATTATGCATATATATTTTTTGTGTAATGAATTATATCAGAAAAGAACTAGAGGGATAATTGAAAATTGCCTTCCCTTGTAATCCTACACAGGTGTGTAATGCCTATTATTATAAAAAGCTGTAAGAGAAAAGTGAATGACGGAAACTTCAAAAGAATTATGCATTTTAATAGTTTAATCCTTTATACATACATACATACATACACACACCTACCATGACAACCTCATGATCAATATCCGAAGCATTTTTGTTTGTTTGTGAGTGCGTGCGTGCGTGCGTCTATCTATGGTGTGTATTTTATTGTTAAATAGTTCTTATAAGCCTCTTTCCTTCTTTCTTCTCTTGTCTCTGCTGTGTTAATTTCTCTCTGCCCGTTTGTTTACTTCCTTCATCTTGATGATGATGAAAGACGACTGACTGAGCAGTTATCATATATGTACCTCTCGTCCTTTTTTTTTACTAATATTTTTTCAAATTGTTTTGTTTATCTGGTCCGGTGGTTTCTCCTCTCTTTTATCTTCGTTTAAACTGTTAATATAAGATGTATACCACAAAAGAAGCTTTTTTTCTTGTGTTCTTTCTCCGTGTACTTCCTTTTTTTGTCAAAGCGGAAAAAATGAAATTCTCTCACTTGAAATCGTCGACTAAAAACGTCGAGTTGTAGTATTCTTCATTCTTGTTGTTGTTGCTGCTGCTGTTGTCGTCTTAGTCTCTGCTTCAAGATGACACCTCTGTTCTGTGCTGGGTGACACCAACTGACCACACGGTTATGCGTTTGTCTGTCTTACTGTTTATCACTCCAGTTAATTATTATTATTATCATTACTACTATTATTATTATTTTCTCAGTTTAACTCATTCTAAATATATACATATGCATACTTGTATGTTTACTTTAGAGAGTTTGTACGTGTGTGTGTGTTTGTTTGTTTTACTCGTCTTGTATAGTTGATTGTGTAGTTTGCGTCTAAGTGTCTTTTTTGTAACATGTTCATTACGCGTAAACTACACCGCCTATTGTAACTCTTTTTTGCCTGTTTCACAATTATTGCTTATTAAAATATATTATTATATAGATATACAGCTGATTGATGCAAATTGTTAGACGTATTTGTGCTTCGCACTCTTCACTTCCTCTTCAACTGTCTTTTTTCCTTTTAATCATATATATGCATTCTTGTATTTATTGTGTACAGTGACCTTTGAATATTTATCGATATATAATTGTCAGAAAATATAGAACTAACTATTATTATATAGTTATTATTATTATTATTATTACTGTCGTTACGATTACTTCTAACATTACCATTACAATTTGAGGCATTGACTACAAATTTTCGATAAATTGACTTCTCTCTCCCTTCCACCTCTCTCTTTCTCTCTCTCTCTCTGTTATCTTCTTTCGTGGTTTTTACACTTTCCCCTTCATCGGTGGTATACAGTTTATTTTTCATGTTACACTATATATAAATACATATGTATCGATGTGTCACTCAATCTTTTCTTATCTCTCGTATTATACTCACTCTTATGCACATTTTGTTTATACACAATATTATTTAACATTAAGAAAGAAAATAATAATAATAAAATTAATTGTCGATCAACAATTATTTGTGCTTTTACCTTTTTCTCAGTGTGTGGATGTGCATAAATGTACTTACTCTAATGCATCCTGAATTTGAAATCCGCTTGTACCTGATTCACTAGGTTGCAATGTATAACTTTGCATAGAAGTGCCCTAGAGTAAAAACCATTGAATCTCTACCGCCTCATCCGAACTGATAGATGCTAGAAGACTTATTCTGGCAAGCTCCGAATTCAATGAGGAGTGAAAGCTGCACAAAAGAAAACTTACGAATAGTCTCCGCAAGGACCATGAACAGTGGTGGGTGACAAAGGCGAAAGAGATGGAGAAAGCGTCAGCGATAGGCAACTCTTTAGACTCATCAGGGAAACAGGTGGGGAAAGGCAAATGATAAGTGAAACAATCTCTGAGAAAAACAGCACCATAATTAGCTCCCAGGATAAACGACTAGGACGTTGGAAAAAACACTCTGAGGGGCAATTTAGCTGGCCTACAGCCACGCTCAACTTACCAAACATCCAACACCTCCCTAAATGGGATATAAACACAGGTCCTCCGTCACTAACTGAGGTTACTAAAGCTGTCACTAATCTGAAACTAGGCAAAGCAGCGGGACCTGATGGAATGACGCCAGAGGTATTTAAGTACGGTGGAGACAGCTTACTGTCTGCATTAACTGAGGTACTAGGCAGCGTCTGGGAATCAGAAGAAGTCCCATCGGGTTGGTGTAAGTCACTGATTATCCCCATATACAAGAAGGGAGACAAGTCTTCCTGTGATAATCACAGAGGGGGGATTAGCTTGACTAATATAGTATCTAAAGTCCTAGGCCCAATAACATTGCGTAGACTAAGTGGTGCTTGGGGAGACACAAACACGAGAGAGCCAGACAGGCTTTGGACCAGGAAGAGGGTGTATTGATCATATCTTCACCCTCCGACAGATTCTAGAACATAGGAATTCCTACCGGTGTCGAATAATCGTTATGTTTCTTGACCTAAAGGCGGAATTCGATTCTATCGACCGAGAGGTTCTCTGGAGATGCTTGGCTATAAAGGGAATTCCAGGAAAATACATTGCACTGATCAAGCCATTCACTCTACTTGAACTCATGCAGCCAGGTGAAGGCTTGTGGTGAGTTTTCATCTGAAGTGGTGACGACTAGTGGTGTCCGTCAATGATGCCCATTATCCCCATTTCTATTCAACTTCATCATAGATGTACTAATCGACTTAACCCTAACTTACTCAGGGATTGACTTGTTACCAAGGCATAATCTCGTTGACTTAGAATGTGCAGATCATATAGTCCTTCTAGGTGAAGATGCTGACAAAATGCAGAGTCTTCTGAACACGTTGAGCTGTAATCTGCGAATGTTTGGCATCCGATTCGCTCCCGCTAAATGTAAGATGATGCTACAGGACTGGACCTCACTGACTCCTAGTTTAGAAATAGGGAGTGAAGTAGTAGAGCACATCGACCGCTTCACTTATTAGGGAAGTACCATCAGTCAGTGCCAGCGGGTTGATCTCTGACGAAATCTCATCACGGATACAGGGAGCTCGTTTCGCATATTCCAGTTTACGCCGTCTCTGGCGTAGACGAGATATCGACCAAAGGGCGGGTGTACTGCTCATCAGTCCGCTCCGTCCTCCTTTATATATTATTATTATTATGGCCAGCTGTGAGACCTGGCCACTGAGAGTGGAAGACATGAAAAGATTAGCTGTCTTTGATCATAGGTGCCTGCGCTCTATCTCCCGTGTGAAGTAGTATAATAAGGTGAGCAATATTGAGGTTAGGCATTGGTCGAGTGCTAGGTAGGTGGGAGGGGAAATCAATCGACGAGGCTGTGAAATTACATCGAGTGAGATGGTTAGGTCATGTGTTACCCATGCATCCCTAGTCATCGCCTTCCTCGACGGGCAATGTTAGCCGACATAGGGTCAAGCTGGAAAAGAGTTGGCTGGCGGTGTTCACACCAAAACATGGCTTCATCAGTCAACGAAATCCACAACGGTTAGTTTAAGTCAGTCAGCCACGTAAGGAGGTGTAAACTGGTTACTTGTTTGGGGTCCTCGGGACGGTAAAAAGCAATGAGGGCTGGAAACAATTGGTGATATGGCCCAAAGTGATCGTTCTCAATGGCTAACGCAGATGCAACGACTCCCTGTGACTTATGATTTCCAATGAAACTATATCGTTCTTCGTTATTACTCTTCCTTTGTCTCACACCTGTGTTTAGTGCCTCTATTATGCTTTTCTTGTACTTTCTTCCCTTGCTTTGTGTGCTACAAGGAGGGAGTGTGGCGACTTGAACTGGAACACATATGTGCCAAGTTCTATTTCGAAAACAGACTGACCCTAGCGTTCATCTGTCACACTCCCTATAACGCAAAAAGATAAAGAAAAGACACATTCCGAAGAACTGTAATGAGACGGTTCAGTGGATCTGGGGGATTACAAAAGTTGAGTGCATCTGCTCTATTGATAACAGTCTTGAATAATATCACCAACTTTCTCAAGCTGTTGGTTCACAGCATCTCGGGGACCGCTGCAAGGCGTTCTACACCCCTCCTCCCTCCTAGGTGGATGACTCAAATTAACAGTTAATGACTTCATGGATTGACTGTGTGTTTAGATTTGACTAGTTCTAACTTGATTGTGTGTCAGCCAGCATCGCTTGTGAGGATAGGCGATGACTCTGGCCATCTCAGCCCAATGTAGCTTCACAACTTCACTTTTAACCTCCCCTCCCTGTTACTCAACACTCTGTGCTTAGCTTCAATATTTCTCCGCATATTTTATACCACTTAATACGAGAGATAGGACTCAAACATCTCCAGCCAGGAAAAACTAGTCTTTTCATATTTTCCACTCTCAATTACCTTATCTTCACAGTCAGGACAGTGTGGAATGGCTGCGCAGTACACATGTGCTTTCTTCAATACACAGATAGCATGTGTTTATCAGAGATGATGTAAGTTAACAAATATTATAACAACGGAAGCCAATGTATATTTTTAAGTGATCAAACGTCTATTTATATACATACAGTTTGATACTCTCTAACTAATCATTGAGCGCGTGATTTTGGCTCACATTAAACGATATGAAATAGCATGTCCAAATATGCATAGTATTATGTTGCTAACGCAGTATTGAACTGTGGGAATAATTTTCCGACACTACCAAGAAACAGAATGTCCAAGTAGATATATTGTATTCTGTTGCTAATGCAGGAAGAAACGGAGTTGGA